AACCTTGGAGCTGCATCTTACAACTGAGTCAGGTTCTAGTGTGTGCATTACATTGCTTACACAGTGTTATCACTTGATACACCATTTTTGTATCCAGCAAAACTGTCATTTTTAGTTGGGCACTAGTTGAAGGCTTTAGGGTCCAGGCTGTTTGCAGATTGATGGATACATTCCTATAAACTGGAATTGAGATTTCTGTTCCTCAGTCTGTCTCAAAACCAGCTAATGCATTTCACCCCTGTACTACTTAAACTATTTTTCTAATCAAGTGCACATAGTTGTGTTTGACTTAAATATAGAAGTAATGGAATTGCTACTGGTACTTTTGTTTTAAAAGTGTCCAGAGCATGTCTATTAATAAGACTTTATTAACAGAAGTAGTAATTATACTTTTCTAAATGTTTTCTGATAGTAATTCTGGTCTTGTAGATATATGAATGCTTTATTGTTTTATTTTTGTTCCTATTTCCTTTTATATTTAAGTATGTGTGAAATTCATTTAGACATCCTTAACAAAATAATTTACATGAAGAACATGATAATTCTTTTACTAGTGGGAATATTCTTAGATTATACTTAAGGTATATTATAGCAAATATTTAGCAATCTAAGGCAATTCACAGAGTAAGGGTCTGATATAACTAATATTTTTAAATGACCGATAATATAATGTCCTTAAAAAATAATAGAAGTGACACGTCCACATCCTTTTCAAAATCATCTCACTTTATTGAAGGTTATTTTTATAATACATTGTGACTAAAATTAGTGTCATGATGTCTTTTTCTAAAATAACTAGTTAGGTAAAGTATGGTTTGTGCATGAAAAATTGAAGGTATAGGGTCACAAATTAAACAATAGAATGTATCAAATAATGTTTAATACTACTATTCAGCTATCCCAAAATGTAATTTTAAAGAATTTTTCTTCCTAACATTGCAGATATAAATAGGTTGAGCTTTCTGTAGATATACTAAATGTAATTTTAACAATATACTAAATGTAAAAACTGCCTTTTTTAATTCACTAAGTTGACAAAGTCAAAATTTGTTAAGTGCCAAGTTTTGGTAGACAAGCATCAGGTAGATTAGGAATGTTTTTATCTTTCCACAAAATTAATATAGCAGTCAGGATTTAATCAGAGGAGAACCACTGGAAGAGAGAATTAACAGGAATTTGACCTTAATTGTAGGAGCTGGTTAAGCAGTCTTTATAAGGCTTGGTCTTTGCCTGTGACGCAGGAGGTTGAAGTCCATAGGCAGTTGGGAAGGAAAGATGGATAACTGGGGAGGAGGGCTGGCAGTAAGAATAAACTGAAACCAACCACAAGCACAAGCTGGGACCCACAAAAATGGACTGAAGCACTGGCCTGGTCTTGATGCTTCTGAACTTCATGGCACGGGTGTCTTACAGAAGCCAGGATGTTTCATCATGGAGCTAGACATGCACGCCTGGACCAAAAGTCTGAGAAGTTGAAGGAGGAGCCAGGGGAAGGTGGAGCAATCGTAGGCCCAGCTGCTACCTCATCCCAAAGGGGCAGTAGATAAGCCACAATGTTTACGAGCTACAGAATTTGTTTCACTTCTGCCCCCCAAAACTCCTATACCACCCATATTCATTACAGTCATGTGCTGCATAATGATGTTTTGGTCAATGACAGACCACATATATGATGGTGGTCCTCTAAGATTATAATGGAGGTGAACAGTGCCTATTGCTAGTGACGCTGCAGCTGTTACAACATCATAGCCCATCGTATTGCTCCCGTGTGTGGTGATGCTGGTGTAAACAAGCCTACTGTGCTGCCAGTTGTATGAAAGTATAGAAGATACAATTAATCATACATAATTCTTGATAATAAGCATGTTACTGGTTTATGTATATACTGTACTCTTTATCATTGGAGTGCACTCCTTCTACTCATTAAAAAAAAAAAAAAAAGTTAGCTGAAAAACAAGCACAGGCAGATCCTACAGGAGGTATTCCAGAGGAGGCTTTGTTATGACAGCTCCATGCATGTTATTGCCCCTGAAGACCTTACAGTGGGACAAGATGTGGGGGTGGAAGACAGTGATATTGATGATCCCCGACCCTTTGTAAGACTAGGCTAATGTGTGTGCGTGTGTCTTAGTTTTTAACAAAAAAAGTTCAAAAAGTAAAAAAAAAAAAAAGCCTATAGAATAAGGATGGAAAGAAAGAATATTTTTGTACAATGTGTTTGTCTTTTAAGCTAAGTGTTATTACAAGAGTCAACAGTTTTAAAATATTTTAAAGTTAATTTTTTTAGAGACAGGGTCGTACTCTGTCACCCAGGCTGGAATGCAGTGGCTGGATCATAGTTCACTGTAACTTCAAATTTCCTGGGCTCAAGCCATCCTCCTGCCTCAACCTCCCAAGTAGCTGGGACTACAGGCATGTGCCACCATGCCCGGCTAATTTTTTCTATATATTTTTAGTTGTCCAGCTAATTTCTTTCTATTTTTAGTAGAGACGGGGGTCTCATTCTTGCTCAGGCTGGTCTCGAACTCCTGAGCTCAAACCATCCTCCCGCCTCGGCCTCCATGAGTGCTAGGATTACAGGCGTGAGCCACCGCGCCCAGCCTAGGAAATGTATTTCTTAAATAAGAAGACTTAAAAGTCAAAATTACTCCTTGATCCATGCAGAATGGATTGTGTATTTGTAGGCATGAAAACTACTCTTGCACATCTTCATGAGACCTCGTGGGTAACCAGGTGTGTGGTCAGTGAGCAGTATTTTGAGAGGAATCTCCTCCTGAGCCCCAGGTCTTAACAGTGGCCTTAAAATATTCAGTAAACCATGCTGTTCAGGCTTTGTTCCATTTATAGAGCACAGGGAGAGTAGATTTAGTCTAATTCTTAAGGGCCCTACCTAGGATTTTTGGGTAACAGCATTGGCTTCAATTTAACAGTAAAAGTCACCAGCTACATTAGCCCCTAACAAGAAAGTCAGACTGAGCTTTGAAGCTGTGAAGCCAGGCATTGACTTCTCTCTAGCTATCAAAGTCCTAGATGACATCTTCCAGTAAAAGCCTGTTTCATCTACATTGAAAATCCGTTGTTTAATGTAGCCACCTTCATCAATGATCTTACCTATTAGACTATTAAGTATGACATGTCTGATTTCCTTAAGTACTAAGTTTGACAGTTGATACCTCTGACATTTCACTTTGACACTTCTTGTTTTATTATTGTGAAGGCACATCCTCATTCTTTCAAAAGCATAGTCTGGCTTGTGATTATCTTTCAAAGTTTTTTTAAGAGCAACTTTTGTAAAACCATGGATAAGTCAAAAATTTGTGTTATTGTCAAATATGGGTTCCATTGTGGAACCAATGCAGCACAGACAGCTTGAAATATTAATGGAGTGTTTGGGAAGGATGTGGTTAATGAATGCACAGTAGGTGGATGGTTTGAGAAGTTCCGTTCTGGTGATTTTAACCTTGAAAATGAGCCATGCGGGCAATTAATGATGAGCTGAAAGCTGTAGTGGAAGCAAATCTATCTCAACCTATTCATGAATTAGCAGCAAGGTTTGACGTTACTATTCCAACAATACTGGACCATTTGAAACAAATGGGCAAAGTAAAGAACCTGGATAGATGGGTTCCGCATCAATTAAATGAGCATCAGAAGAGAAATTGGCTTGACGGTTGCCTTTCTTTGCTGTCTGGACATAAAGGCGAACCATTTTCTACGTGTGATGAAAAGTGGATTCTTTTTGACAATCACAAGCATTTGGCACAATGGATGGTTGGATAAAGACGAAGTGCCAAAACACAGTCCAATACCGAATATGCATTAAAATAAGCTAATGGTGTCTGTTTGGTGGTCCAGCGCTGGTATTATCCACTACAGCTTCATGAAACCTGGTCAATCAATTACAGCAGATGTCTACTGCAACCAACTGGACAAAATGATGAGGATGCTTGTGATTAAGCAGCTGACATTGGTCAATAGAGACAGCCAATCCTCTTGCAAGACAATGCTTTATACCACATGTCACACAAACAACATTGTTCAAACTACAGGAGCTGGACTTGGAAAGTCACTGTCATCCACCACGTTCACCAGACCTTGCACCAAATTTCCACTTCTTGCAAGGAAAAGTATTCAATTCTCAACAAGCTGTGGAAAATGCCTTTGGTGATTTCATCACCACTCTCTCTCTCCAGACTTCTCCGCTGCTGGCATAAACAAGCTACCATTAAGTTGGCAAAACTGTGTCGATAGTTTAGGCGCATACTTTGATTAATTGTACTGCTTCTTGTTTGAAATATAATAAACTACACTTCTGATTCGAGATCGGACATTTCACATTTAATGACCTGAAAGATCTGGATAACTCACTGCAGCTTCTACATCAGCACTTGCTGCTTTACCTTGTACTTTTAGGTTATGGAGATGAGTTCTTTCCTTAAACCTCATGAACCAACCTCTGCTAGCTTCCATCTTTTCTTCGGCTTCCTCACTTCTCTCAGCCTTCATACAATTGAAGAGAGGGCCTTCCCCTGGTTTAGGGTTTGGCTTAAGG